ATTGATGATTTAATAGAATAATCTCATATTTATTTTGGAGCTAGCATGGGCTGTGGCTAGGAACACTTAAAGAGAAATTATGCACCTCCTTCACTTGTATTTTTGGGTTTGGCCTCCATCAGGACGCAGGTGGGTCTGACTGCTTGGCTGCAGCAACTGGCTGTGACCAGCTGGGGAGCAGGGGGTGGGGTTGGCTTACTACAAAGAGACTCCACAGCTGGAGCTGCTCTCAAGAGGAGGTGGCTTTGGGGTAAGCGGCTGTGAGCTGGGTGGCCAGCTATTGTGGAATGCACCAGACAGAGGGATGTTGTTCACAGGAGCCTGTTCCAGCTGGCAGTCATAGAGGACAGAGGCCACCCTGCACGAGTGGTGGGAGGCAGGGGTGGGAAAGCCTGGGTCAGGGATCAGCACTGAACATGGGTAGCAGAAAGATGTCATGAGCCCAGGGAATGGAGAGCAGCTGAGGTTCACTCTGCGATGTCCTTGGCTGTTTGTCTGACTCATTCTTGTCCGTAAACAGGCAGCTTGATGGGGCAGGTAGAGTGCCCACAATGTTCTGACCTTTTTCGTTAATCATCTTTGGTAGAAATGCTTTAACTTGTCTCCCTTTAACTAATTTGATTGGTAGGGGAGTCATGGATCAGATTTTAAAGCTGCAGTTACCTTTTAACCCTCATGTGACCTTAAGGTTTTGAAATGTAAATATTTTCACATTCCATCTCTCTTTCTCTTACAGAAGTTGTGAGGATCAATAAAAGAGTATACAAATGGCTTTCCTGGAAAGAATTGCTGTGTAATATAAACATGTGTTGGAAAGGAGCTGGAATGGCACAGAATATTTGATTTTCAAAGCATGAAAAACTAGTGATTAGTTACGGTAAAAGAGAAGTCGAGACAGTTGCCCCCCGCCCTCATGAGAACTTTGACTGCCATAAACTTTTCAGTATGTAACTGACAATGCGGAAATTATTGGCCAGGGATTCTGATGTGATTAGTTTTGTTTCATTTCTACTTAAAACTTTCTCCCTATTTTTTTTTTTTCTAAGTTAACTACTTGTTAGTGAGCATATTCAAAACCTAAATGCTTGGAATATATTTTGGAAATCTCTCTCACAATGACGATAAGGAACTCATCTAGTTTGTTTGCTCAAGTAACCTTTTCATTCCTTGCTTCTGAATATTATATTCTGATAGAATTGTAAGCACAGCAGTGATACATTTAAAGTAGGGCAAGGCATTGCTTATGGGTTCTGATCTATGAGATTTACAGGTTCAGATGAAATAAAATTGCTAAGCTGGTTTATTTAGTACCATTTACATTTGAAAACATAAAAATTTTGAATAAAATGAACTTACTGCTTGATATGTGAACCAATCCAGAGAGGTCTCCATTGGAGATGTTCTGCTGGTTTGTTTTCATGCTTAATTGAAAGGAAGAAGTTCCAAAGACAGCCATAGATGAATGGCACTGTTTTGGAACTGGCAGGGTGCACCCCTGAAATGGTGGGGGAGGAGCTGGTGCGTAGTGGTCAAATCCTTCAAATCACTCATTGCTTCATTCTTTGAGGATATCGTGAAACATTTTGTTAGATTTTGGGAGCCATTTATTATTGTATTTCAGTCTGTTTGAGGATTCCATACAAGCTATAATGACATGTGAGTTTTATGTGGCTAAGCCCTAGATCGTGGCTGGATTGTATACTTCAGGTGGAGATATGAGTAAACCTTCTGTTCTGTTTATCACTCACTGACCCAGGGAATTATATGTTATTAAGTTGAACACATCACAAGGCTGAACTATTTGAATTTGCATTACTTAACTCGTATCTGAGCCAATCTCCAGAACAAGGAACATGGGACTTACACCTGCTTGAACAGATGTATGAATCAAAGTGATATAGCCCAGAATTAAGGTGACTAGAAAACTTCTGAATCACCTGTTAAAGTGAAAAAATTCTCAGTTTTTTTAGTAAATATGTTGTCTTTGATTTTTGTAATATCACATACAGTAGTAGTATTTCAGATTCAAAACACATGTCTACACAGTAAAAAAATTTAAAAATGGATATGATGGGGTCAGCTGCCACCTGCAATGGTGGCGTCCCATACGGACTCTTGTTTGATGCCCAGCTTCTTCACTTCTGATCCAACTCTCTGCTAATATTCCTGGGAAAGTAGCAGAGAATGGAGCAAGTGCTTGGGCCCCTGCACTTGCATGGAAGACTGGAAGATGCCCTTGGCTTCTGGATTCAACCTAGCCTGGCCTAGCCCCGGCTGTTATGGCTATCTGGGAGTAAACCAAGGTGGATGACTGATCTTTATCTCTCTCTCTCCCTCCAACTCTGCCTTTAAAATAAATAACCTTTAAAGTAAATATTTATTATCAAATAAAATAGAATATAATAATTCTTATAAAATAGATTTTCGATTTTTTGTCAAACTCCTAAAATAGACAATCTGGTTAAGTACTAGTAACTTTGTAGCTTAATCTTATGTATTAAATTCATTAGCAAAAAATTTTTAAAGCCTCTGCCCCTTTTTTCAAAAGCTTGATTTATTTATTTGAAGGCAGACTGACAAGGAGAGAGAGAGCCAGAATCTTCATGCTCCTCTGGTTTATTCCTCAAATGCCTGCAATAGCTGAGGATGGGCCAGATAGAAGCCAGGAGCCAGGAATGCCATCAGGGTCTCCCACATGGGTGACAGGAATCCAAGTGCTTGGGCCATCATCTGCTGTCTCCTAGACAGATTTACATCTAGGTCAGAAGTGGAGGCGGGACTTGATCCCAGGCAGTGCGGTAAGGGATGTGAGCTTCCAAATTGGCAGCTTACTCTGCTGTGCCACAATGCTTGTTCCTCATAAGAACATCTTAATGGTGTCAAACATATCCATAAATGGTCACACTTAATGATGATAGAGAAAAATAATTGATGGGGCAGAATCTTCATGAAAATATTCATTTTGCTTTATCAAGAACCTCTTTGGCTATGGTTTAATTTTTATAGCATTTGTGAGGTTGGTGAATGAGTCTCCATATTTTACAATGATTTCCTCCGAGATGAAAGTAAAAGAATGTCCCTCTCCCATTTCACAATTCTTTTTAACTGCTCTATTTTATAACATTTATAATTTTATAATATATGATATAATTTATTTATGTTTTCTGCTTATTGATATATTAGTTTGCTAAGGTCGCCATAACAAAACACCACTGGCTAGTGGCTTTAGCTATAGGAAAGTATTATCTCACAACTTCAGGGGTTAGAGGTAGGTACAAGTTGAAGGTGTGGGCAGGGTTGGTTTCCTTATGAGACTTCTTTACTTGGCTTGCAGATGGTTGCCTTCTCACATTGCTTACACGTGTTTTTTCCTCAGTGATGCACTTGTGTGTCCAAATTTCATTTTTTTTTTAAATAAGGACACTAGTCATATTGGACTAATGTTCACTATAGTGATCTAATGTTAACTTTACATGCTGACATTCTGAGGAATAGGACTTCAGTGTATGAATTGGGGCAGAAGCAGTGAAGGGTATAACACTTGGTTTATCACCAGCTCTAGGATTTTTGTCTCTTTGGTTTATTTTCATATCCTAAATGCCTAAATAGCAGGGCTTGGAACATAATATACACTAAATTAATAAATGCTGAGTGAATAAATGAATGAATCAGTCGGTGAATGAAAGAAATAAGTTGAGTGACAAGTATGAAAATCTCAAATTTTGCTATGTCTAACAGATGCCTCACTTGCTGCTTAAGATCATTTATACTTGAATTAGTAAGGTTTGCACAGTCTTAGTTATGCTTATTCTGGCATATGGGCATATCAGTAACATTTGTGGATAAAGTCTGTAATTAGAAATAACTACCAAATCAAAGCATTAATAATTTCAAAGTAAGTAATGAAATGCACATCAACTGTGGAGGAGGAACAGGGAACAGTAGGGCTTCTTTCAAGCCAGTAACACTTTAAGGGCAACAATTTGTAATTAAAACTGAAGTGAATTTAATCTTTTTTGCTAATCACTCCCGCAATGTTAGCCTGTTTTCATCAAACTAATTGATGGCAGATGGAACAGATGCATGGTGAGATTACAGCCCCACTTTATAGCAGGGTTATAACAAATGTGACTTTTCCCCTATTATATGCATTAACATTCAGAAATGCACTCCTTTGCTTTCTACATGCACTGAAGTTTCTTCTTTGTTGTGAGACTGATTACAAAGAATTAGAGGATTTTAATACAAATAGAATTCATTTGATTAAGTCAGTCTTAAATAAGCATTTATTGAGTACTGACTATATGAACCATGAGAGAGGGGTCACACATTCCTAACTTCAATGAATCAAGAAGAAATTATACAAAAAGTATCTCTACATGATCCTTACTTTCTTGAACATATTTCAGAATTACAGTTTTGAAGTTCATGAAGTTTAAAATCAAATCTCAAAATTTGCTTTGTTTTGTTTCAAACAATAACTTATGGGCCAGCGCCAGGGCTCAACAGGCTAATCCTCTGCCTAGTGGCGCTGGCACACCGGGTTCTAGTCCCAGTCGGGGCGCTGGATTCTGTCCCGGTTGCCCCTCTTCCAGGCCAGCTCTCTGCTATGGCCCAGGAGGGCAGTGGAGGATGGCCCAAGTGCTTGGGCCCTGCACCCCATGGGAGACCAGGAGAGGTACCTGGCTCCTGCCTTCGGATCAGCGTGGTGCGCCGGCCGCAGCGCGCCGGCCGCATCGGCCATTGGAGGGTGAACCTACGGCAAAGGAAGACCTTTCTCTCTGTCTCTCTCTCTCTCACTGTCCACTCTGCCTGTCAAAAAAAAAAAAATCTTACTACCAGAGCAACTAATATCTTAAACAATTATGTCTGGAAATAACATATTTTTCATTAGTTTTTCTATGGATATTATTAAGTTATATAGACACAAATCTAAATAGATATCTTCTAATTACAAATTTGAAAAAAAATTAAATTACAAGTTATTATTAATAATGATAAATTTATTATACAGGAAGTCATTAACCTCATATCATCTCTTCACAAAGGCATTATACTATCTCATCACAAGAAGAATGAGTATAGTATAATAAGATATTTTGAGAGAGAGATTAAATTCATATACCTTTGATTATGGTATATTTTTATAATTGGTCGATTTCACTGTTGTTAATCTCTCCCTGTGCTTAACTTATAAATTTAACTTTATTATAGATATGTGTGTATGAGAAAAGACATACCAGATAGAGGAATCAATGTTATCTACAGTTTCAGGAACCCACTGAGGGCTTAGAATCTTTACCCTGCAGATAAGTGGACACAACTGTATTTATGGGAATCTAAGCTTTTAATAGAATTAGTGATAATAACTAGTAATTAAGTCAGACTCTATTAATGTATTCAACAGAGTTATGGGTGGTGGAGTTGTAGAAATTCCTTCTATAAATTATGGTACTAAGGGCCAGTGCCATGGCGCAGTAGGCTAATCCCACCTGTGGTGACGGCATGCCATATGGGCGCCAGTTCTAGTCCCAGTTGCTTCACTTCCAATCCAACTCTCTGCTATGGCTTGGGAGAGCAATAGAAGATGGCCTAAGTCCTTGGGCCCTGCACCCATGTGGGAGATCCAGAAGAAGTGCCCAGCTCCTGGCTTTGGATTGGCGCAGTTCTGGCCATCACAGCCATTTGGAGAGTGAACCAACGAAAGGAAGACCTTCTCTCTGTCTCTCCCTGTCACTGTCTGTAACTCTAGCTCTCAAATAAAATAAATAAAATCTTTTAAAAAATTATGGTACTAAAATCATACTACTTGGGGCAGGCGCTGTAGTGTAAGTATTAGGTTAAGCCTCTGCCTACAGTGCTGGCATTCCATATGGGCACCAGTTCATGCCCCAGTTGTTCTTTTTCTGATCTAGGTGCCTGCTAATGGCCTGGGAAAGCAGTGAGAGATGGCCCAAGCTCCTGGGCCCCTGCCATCCATGCAGGAGACCTGGCAGAAGCTCCTGGTTTTGGATTGGCCCAGCTCCAGCCATTGCAGCCATTTGAAGAGTAAATCAGTGGATGGAAGACCACTCTCTCTGTTTCTCCCTCTCTCTTTCTGTAACTCTGCCTCTCAAATAAATACATAAATCTTTAAAAATATGATACTATTCTTGCAGCCAAACACTTTGACCACAGGCTTAAATCTATTATAAAGCTAGATGAAGGGGTTGGGGCACTGTGACTCAGAGGATTAAATCCCCAACCTACAGTGCTGGCATCCCAAATACGTGCCAGTTTGAGTCCTGGCTATTCCACTTCCAGTCAAGCTCCCTGCTAATATACCAGGGAGAGCAGCAGAGGATGGCCCAACTGCTTGGGCCTCTGCACCTATGTGGGAGACCTGGAAGAAGCTCCTGGCTCCTGGCTTCAGCCTGGCCCAACTCCAGACATTTTGGTCATCTAGGGAGTAAACCAGGGGCTAGAAGATCTCTATCTGTCTCTCCTTCACTCTCTATAACTCTGCCTTTCAAATAAATAAATAAATCTTCAAAAAAAAGTTAGATGAAGCCATTCTGTATGTATTTTAAACATTATTTCAGAAACAGAACACCAACAGGAATTCCATTAAAGGTAGAAATAAGTGGATGAAAACATGAACATTCCACAATTGGCATCAAACAAAGTAATAAACATTTCTTATTTTAATTTGCAAAAGAGCAAAAATTTAGGAAACAAATATTAGGCAAGTGTAAGGGAAATTTTATTTATAAATCTTGCTTAATCTCTATTTGTTTGACTACATTTTACCTTCTAAAATCTGAATTCCTTTCTGTTTTGAGGGGAACCTAAATACACTCCACTTCCTATAGTGAGACACAGGGGACAGATAAGATTTTGTGAACTCTGGCTGCCAGGGCTCAGGTGAGTGACTTCATTTCAAGCAAATGGACTTTCAAGCCCAATTCATTGAACCACATAATTAATTAAAAGAGTTTTAGGTTGGGGCTAACAGTGGAGTAAAGTTTAGGAGTTTTGCTGCTCCTGTGAGGACAGCGGCAGGTTCAGCTGCGGCGTTATAGCCATACCATTCTTATGACAGGGCCACCTGCTCGTGTGCTTGACTGAGCCTCTGTTGGATCATGGGGCTTTCTGGTTGGGTGCTTTAGCTTTCTTGTCAATTATATAAGGTGTTGCACATCTGAGGATGTATGGGCATTTTCTAAAATCTCCCAATAATTTTTATATCCTTGAGGAATCCTCTCTTATTAAGCGTGGGATGGACATGATAACTTGATTCTAACAGAATATGGCAAATATGATGGCATATTGCTTTGGAAATTGTTACAAGAAGACAGTGACTTCTGTCTTCATTGTACTCGTTCTCAATTCTGCTTGCTTGCTTTGGGGGAAGCCAGGTGACATTTTGTGAGCAACCATCTGCAGAAATTGACATGATAAGGAACTAATATTTCTGACCAACAACCAGCAAGAACCTGAGGTTTGTCATCATTCACGTGGGTGAGTTTGAAAGCAAGTTCTCTACCAGTCAAGCATTGAAATGAAAGCAGCCCCAGTGTAGACCATAACTGAAGTCTGTGACAGACCATTAGCCAAAACCAACTAACTGAACCATGCTTTATATCCTGACCCACAGACACTATGCAATAACATCAGTGCCCGTTGTTGTCAGTTGCTAACTAATACAATTTCCCTCCAGATAGTCCATTTTCTGATTACTTAAGTAAACCAGAGTTTGTTCCTGTTGGTTGCAACCAAGGATGTAGTGTTTGTTAATAGGGATGGAAATAGATGATGCCTATTATAGCAGGGACTGAAGGTTGTGAATATTTTCTTAAGATTCTGAATAAAACATCTGGAAACTCATTTTATATAATAGTAAAACAGTTATTTAAATTTTTACCTCTGATCAATTATAGTAAAATACTCTTTGTTGGCAAAACTTGGAATAGACAATATCTAATGTGCCTTAGAAGACTAATAGAGGTATGAGGAATCTAAGCATGATGAAGTGGAATAGCTTCTTCTAACAATACTAGATGGATGACAGAAGGAGAGTGATAGTTGTAAATTCTTAGATTCCGAATGCAAAACATGGATTTTTATTATTTTGCCAAAGATTGACTATCCTTTTGAAGCCGTAGTGATGAATGGGATTAAGGCCTTTATAAAACAGGCTTACTACAGCATTTGGCCCTTATCCTTCTGCCTTCTATTAGGTGAGGACACAGCGACAAGGCACAATTTGGAAATACAATGACCTTCACCAGACAGTAATGCTGGCAGCTTGATCTTTGATTTCCTAGAACTGTAAGAAATAACTTTCTGTTCATTATAAATTTTGGAAGCACAGATATTTTGTTATATTAACACAACTGGACTAAGAAAATTGGCTATTCTGTGAGATGCTGGAGGTGAAAGTGGTTCCTTGATTGCAGTGGGGATGGTTGATCCTGTGAGACAGAGGTGAATGATCAGCCATTTGCCTTCACTGACAAAGTGGCCAAACCATAGCATCCTAGTCAGAATGCTTTATATACATCGCAGATTAGGTAGTAGGGGAGATAAAATATCTGGGTAGTCAACTAATATTCCATTTGATTGGGCTGAGGCCCAACAAATTACATTATTACAAATTCTGTAGTCATTTTCCTAATTACCAAATGAATTAATCAAACTCAGAATCTATGAATGAAGAGAATTTAAAGTGACTTGGAGAAAAAACAAACACCTATGTTCATTCTAGTATTCTTCAAATTATGTTCCCTTGGGGACTGGTGCCGTGGCACAGTAGGTTAATTCTCCACCTGTGGCACCAGCATCCGATATAGGCGCTGGTTCTAGTCCCTGCTACACCTCTTCCAATCCAATTCTCTGCTGTGGCCTAGGAAAGCAGTAGAAGATGACCCAAGTTCTTGGGCCCCTGCACCCACATGGGAGACCGAGAAGAAACACCTGGCTCCTGGCTTCGGATCAGTGCAGCTGTTGTGGCCATTTGGGGAGTGAACCCGCAGATGGAAGATCTTTCTCTCTGTCTGTCCCTCTCACTGTCTGTAACTCTACCTCTCAAATAAATAAATAAAATATTTTAAAAAATTGTGTTTCCACTCTTTCAATCTTTGTCCCAACTGTGCCATTTTTATGACTATCTGGCATTCCCTGTGAGTGGACACCAATTTCCAACGATTCACAATGCCACTACAGATTGCCAGTCATAGTAGGAGTTTTACTACTATGACTGGCATTAATAGAATCTTGACCCAGGTGAAGTTTCATCACTAAGAGGACGGCAGAGTGTAGGATGATAAGGAAGTATTTTAAAGGTGCAGAGGAATTGATTTATATCCTGTACTCATTTGTCTTTGCTATGGCTGGTGCTGAGGATAGATGAGTCCTGGAAAATTCCATGTGGTTACTTAAGTTGAAATTTTTTCAAGTGTGATCTCCTTGCTGGAGCAAATCAATGGACTCTGAGCCCTAGTATGAAATTACTTATGTGGAAAAAATGTTTTTAAAAATTTCCTTTTTTTACTGATCAGAAGATAACAGAACTTTTAAAATCCAGATTGTCTCCTAATTTGACCTAGCATTCCATCATCTTGTCGTTACACTACATTGATTATACCATGCTGATAAACCCTGGAAGAGTTATCATAAAAGTGATGAGATATTTGCATGACATTTATTCTTTTCTTTTTTTATTTATATAAGGTGAGCAAATTTCATGTATTTCATATATACAGATTTAGAAACAGTGAAAAATAGTTATTAAGTGACTACTTTGTGTCAGTCTGCTGAAAATGTAGCTGTGAACAAAAGGGAGTTTCTCTTCTCAAGAGCTAACATCATGGAAAGGATAGACTGATGATAAATAAACAAGTGTGTAAATAAGTCACATATCAAATTCTGATGAATGCCACACAAAAACTCAAGTAGAATCAAAGGAATACAGGAACTCAGTGGGTACGGCACTGCTCTCTAATGTTGGAGATCAGAGGAGGCTAAACTGAAAGATAATATACTAATGGAGACCATATGGAAGAGAGGGAGACAAAATGAAAGACCATGAAGAAGAAAATTTTAAATACAGGGAATATAAAATGTATAAAAGCAGTGACCTATATTTGAAACTCATCAGTATAACTTCCAGACAGTGAGTGAGGTGGGGATAAAGATAAGGCAGCAGATAAGGTTATCTTTGAGTGGGTTGGGAAACAGAAGCATGATTTTGTGCTGAAGTGTGACATGATGTGATTTGTATTTTTAAAAGATTATTGTGGTTTATATATTATGAACACCCTAGGTGGAAAAGTGGATGCAATTAGCAGATTATAATTGTAATGATTAAGATGAGAGAAGTTGATGATATCTTGAAGCTGCTTGATAAGAGTAAGAGGTAGTGAGAAGTTTTGTTTGTGTGTGTATGTGTGTAAATTTATTTTCTTTTCTAAAAATTTAATTATATTTTATTTGAAAGGCAGAAAGAGATCATGTCAGAGAGAAAGAGATCTTCTACCCACTTGTTCATTCCCCAAATACTCACAATAGTCAGGGCTGGGCCAGGCTGAAGCCAGAATCCTGGAACTTAATCCTGGTCTCCTAAGGAGCTGGCATAAACTCGAACACTTGACCCATTTCCTGCTTTCTCTCAGGTTGTGGATAAGCAGGAAGCTGGATTGGAAGCAGAGGATCTGGGACTCAAATCAGCACTCCCATCCTGTATGTAGATGCCGTAAGTAGCATCTTAACTGTTGGGTCAAATGCCCACACATATGGATGCATTTTTAAGTTAAACAAAACAATTTTACTGATGACTTAGATTTAAGGTATAAAGGAAAGAAAAAAAAATCAAGATTTTTTGATTTGAGATTAGCAAAGCAGGAAATGATTTGCACTCTTTGGATTGGAGGAACCACAAAGGAAGCAACACTTCAAAAGCAAAATAAAAAAGGATATAGAGTCAAGATAGGAATTTCTCAAAGACAAAAAGCATAAGTGTAGATTGGAGTCAATACATAGGTGACTTGCAATTTACCTGAAACTTCAAGGAGAAATAAATGTTTGTTCTTTGAAACTTCTGAAATTTGGGAGATGCTACCACAGAAAAGGTGACTAGAAGAGGTTTTTATCCTTTATAAATGAAATCTGAGATATCTCACTAAGTCAAGAATCTTGACTAGCAGAGGTAATCGTCTGCTTGGGCTTCCAAACCAAGATACCTTGACTAAATGGTTTATAACCCACAAAGATTTATTTCCCACAGTTTTAGATGCTAAGTCCCAGAGTAAGGCATCAGTAGATCCACTGTCTGGTGAGGACTCTTTCCTCATTGACAACACCTTTTTTTAGGATTTATGTATTTATTTTGAAATTCAGTGCTGCAGAGAGGGAGGGAGAGAGATATCTCCCATCTGCTGATTTACTCGTTCCAGTTTTAGCATGTGCTGCTGACGCAATCCCATGCTGATTCACTAGTCAGATGGCTGTGACAGCCAGCATTGGTCAGGAGCCAGGTTTTCCATGTGAGTGATGGGGACCCAAACACTTGGGCCATCTTCCACTACTTTCCCCAGGCCATTAGAAGGGAGCTGTATCAGAAGTGGAGCATAGAGGACACGAACCACCACCCATATGGACTATGAGAGTTGCACCCATGTGGGAGACCCGGAAGAAGTCTCCTGGCTTCAGATTGGCGCAGCTCTGGCTGTTGTGGCCAATTGGGGAGTGAATCAGAGGATGGAAGGCCTATCTCTCTCTCTCTCTCTCTCTCTCTCTCTCTCTTTGTGTGTGTTGTGTGTGTAACTCTGACTTACAAATAAATAAATAAATCTTTAAAAATGTGTATAAGATGAACTGAACTAGTAAATATATCAGTATTCAAATCAGAAGTAGAAAAATAATCAAAACTGAAATTCCACTTCACAAAACTGATTAAAATAAATATTAGAAAGAAACAAAATAAATTAGATAGAAATTAGAAGTAAATATTATAAATAAATTATAAATAAAAGAAAGAAATGGAAAGAAATAAACATTAGATTAAACCAATAAACACCCTATATAAACACAATCATGGTTACTCTTTCTCTATGTGCAATGCAGTTTGATTTTTTAGTTCCATTCCATTCCATTCCATTCCATTCCATTCCATTCTATTCTATTCCATCCTGCCCTATTTTATCTTTTCTAGAGAATGTTCATTAAAAACAGCTCATTGATTTCATGGTTCACTGATTAGTTAATAATAATGATTTGAAAATAACCATTTTTCACAGGCATACCTCATCCAGTCCATCTCCTATTTCTTGGGCATTACTGATTTTGTTGTTTTCCTCAAGCAACATCAAGGATCGATTCTTCTGGTATCATCTTGCCACAAAATAATATTGCAACTGTATTTAGTGTCAGTGTTTCATTTATTAATGGTACGATGCCAAAGAGAGAAGGTAGAAAGGAGGGAGTGAGGGAAGAGAAAAGGGAATATCATTATATTCTTAGACCTTTTTTTGTATTTCCAAATCATATTCAATCTGTTAAAAGTTAAAAATGAAAATTAAAAAAATGTTGCCACTAGGCAGCAAGCTTGCAACCTCTAACTACCAGGACCAAATCACTGTAATTTGGGGTATGATTAGAATAGAGTAATTTACTCTCAGTAGTGGAAATAATGGAGTGACAACCCATTTGTATTTTCTGGGTATCAAAGTTCTTTCACAGGGTTGGTAGTCCATGGCCTTGAATCTGTAATTCTCCATTTCTAAAGAGCTGGTAGGATAGAGCCATCTGGAGTGTATTCACATGAAGCGCCATGAAAAAACATGGGAAAGAATTCAAGATAATAGAAGAGAATCAATGTTCACACATAAAATGTTTGTTCAAAGACTTTTCATTTAAAATAATGTATGGCAGGGTGGGCATTGTGGTATAGTAGGTTAAATCACAGCTTAGACTACCAGCATTTTTTAATGGAGTGCCTGGGATTGAGTAATGCCTCTGTTTCTGATCTAACCTCTTGCTAATGTACCAAGGAGGTAGCTCACGATAGCTCAACTGCTTGGGTACCGGCCATCCATATGGGACAATCAAATGGAGTTCTTGGATCCTGGTTTTGGCCTCACCCAGCCTTGGCTTTTGAAAGCATTTGGAGAGTGAACATTGGTTGGACAATCTCTCTCTCTTTCTCTCTCTCTCTCTGTCATTTGATTTTTTTTTTTTTTTTGACAGGCAGAGTGGACAGTGAGAGAGAGAGACAGAGAGAAAGGTCTTCCTTTGCTTTTGGTTCACCCTCCAATGGCCGCCGCGGCTGGCGCACCGCGCTGATCTGATGGCAGGAGCCAGGTACTTATCCTGGTCTCCCATGGGGTGCAGGGCCCAAGTACTTGGGCCATCCTCCACTGCACTCCCTGGGCACAGCAGAGAGCTGGCCTGGAAGAGGGGCAACCAGGACAGAATCCGGTGCCCCGATGGGGACTAGAACCCGGTGTGCCGGCACTGCAAGGCGGAGGATTAGCTTAGTGAGCCGCGGCGCCGGCCTGACATTTGATCTTTATAAAAAACAAATACAACTTTAAAAATGTGTGATTTAAGGTTTACTGAAATATTTTCTCACATATTCTTTCAAAATGCCTATAAAACATCTAAATAAAGAGGAAAACTCTTAACACCCCAAATAAGGTCGAGTGTTAAAAGAATCTGAAAGGAATTTCCACTAACCATAAGGTCTCTGAAGTTGAATTAAGAACTCTTATCAGTGGCTGTTCCAAAGAGTCACTCTACAAGTCTCCTTACTGTATTCCCCCTTTCATTTGTACTGCCTTCTGGGAATGTATACATATTTAAACTGTTATTGGGAAAGCACAATACAATCAGAATGAGGATATGCTATTCTTATGATTCCTATAATTTGTAATGATGGAATACTTTAGAAAAACATGAAATGTGTTTCAGACTTTATTTTTTGACCTATGCCATGCAAACTTTTTTCTGCTTGGCAGTTTGAAATGTCTTTGTTGAAAAACGCGAGTTTTTCCTCTCTGTGCATGAAGTGACCTAAAATGGGTTGTGGATGATATCATCACTGCTAACAATCTTTAGTATAAAAGACATAGACATTGTGGTAATATTGGTTCTCTTCATGGTTATCACCACTTGGTATGCATCAGAGCTTTGGAAGGCTTCCATGATGCTGTACAGTTTGACGCAAAGAAAAGGGTTTACTGGGGAAGCCTACAAATAAGGTGGGAAGTGTAGAGTGTCTGCATTCTCTTCATCCCCTGGAGATAATGCCAGAGCCTGCTTGATTTAAGAGAAATGAAATAGATTTCCCTTCTTGGAATGGAGAGACTTCATTCTCATGTCATTATGCCTTCTTTCTATGGAGTAAATATGAGAACAACATCATCAGTGGTCACAAAACAGAGCAGTGGGACACAGGAAGTCTGGAACAACATTTTACATAAATTGTCCGGAAAAATTTGGAGCCCAATTAGCTAGATACTTTGCAAGCATGCAGAGGAAATTGAAGTCACTTCTCCCAGGAGGAGAAAACTACTGATAACTTGAGAATTTAAGTTTTGGGGTACCCTCTTTGAATGGAGACAAGAAGGTATCATTAGCTGGCTGATTGTTTAAGCTATACAGGGAGAACTAGCTGCTAAGCCACAGTAACCCATCTTGGATGAGAGAAACAGTCACTGGACTTACAATAGTTGACCCTGAACAGGCCTCATTTGCTCTTCAGAGTCATTTATTGGATGCAAATATTTTGTCCCATTCTGTGGGTTGCCTCTTTGACTTGAAAACTGTTTCCTTTGCTGCGCAGAAGCTTCTTAGCTTTGTGTGAATCCTTTTGTTTATTTTTGCTTGTATTACCTGTGATTCTAGGATTTTATCCAAGAAGTCTTTCCCTAGGCCACTGTCTTGCAACATTTCCCTGATGTTTTCTTCTAACAGTTTGAGGGTTTCCAGTCTTAAGTTTAGATCAGTCATCCATTCCTAACACCATTTGTTGAAGAGACAGTCCTTTCTCCAGGGATTGATTTTGACTTGCTTGACAAAGATTAGTATTTTTGTAGATACGTGGATTAATTTCTGGGGTTTCTATTCTGTTCCATTGGTCTACGTGTCTATTTTTGTGCCAGTACCAGGATGTGTTGATTATAACAGCCCTTGTAGTATATCTTGAAATATGGTGTTGTGATGCCTTCAGCTTGATTTTTTTTAAAGCTTTTGTTTAATGAATGCAAATTTCATAAGTACAACTTTAGGAATATATTGGTTCATCCCCCCAAACCTACCCTCCCACCCCCACTCCCATGCCACCTCCTACTCCCTCTCATCCCATTCTTCATTAAGATTCATTTTTAATTAACTTTATATACAGAAGACCAACTCTATGCTAAGTAAATGTTTCAACAGTTTGCACACACACACACGCACACACACACAGTGTAAAAGTACTGTTTGAGAACAAGTTTTGTGGTTAATTCTCATAGTAGAACTCATTAAGGACAGAGGTTTTACGTGGAAAGTAAGTGCACAATGACTTCTGTTGTTAATTTAACAATTAACACTCTTATTTATGATGTCAGTGATCACCTGAGGCTCTTTGCCATGAGCTGCCAAGGCTATGGAAGCCTTTTGTGACCATAAACTCCTTCAGTATTTAGACATGGCCATAAGCAAAGTGGAAATTCTCTCCTCTCTTCAGAGAAAAGTACATTCAACTTTGAT